CTCTTGTGTATCCCCAACTGGGAATTACGCTTGAAACTTTTCCCACAATCTGGACACTCATATGGTTTCTCTCCTGTGTGAGTCCTCTGGTGTTCTATAAGGGAGGAATTCCGACTGAAACTTTTTCCACAATCTGGACACTCATATGGTCTTTCTCCTGTGTGAGTCCTCTGGTGCACCACCAGGTCAGAATTGCAAGTAAAACCTTTCCCACAATCTGAACAGTACTGTTTCTCTCCTGTATGTGTGGTCTGGTGTTTCACCAAGTGGGATTTGTGATTGAATCTTTTCCCACAGTCCAGACACTCATATGGTTTTTCTCCCGTGTGAATCCTCTGGTGTATCACCAGGTTCGAATTCTGACTGAAACTTTTCCCACAATATAGACATTCAAAGGGTTTCTCTCCTGTGTGAGTTCTCTGGTGTGTCACCAGGTCGGAATTCTGATTGAACCTTTTCCCACAATCCGGACACTCATATGTTTTCTCTCCTGTTTGAGTCTTCTCGTTAATTGCCAGACTGGTATGCATGCTAAATCTTTTGTCACGATGGGAGCACTGGTAGAGTTTCTCTTTGGTATGGCTCCTTCCACGAATCATGAGAGGCCTGTTCTGAGTGAAGCTTCTGATGCACCCGAAACATTTGTATGGCTTTTCACGGGGTGGTTGAACTTATGCATCAGTCAGATGTGATCTGCAATCTGTGTTTCACAAAATAGGCAGACTGTGGAGATTTTTTCCGCTATCCACAGAACCTTTTACTCCCCACTGACTGAAAGTGTGTTTACAATTTCTGGAGGAAGTAGAAGCTTTGGATTGATGCTACTTCTCATTCACTGTTGCCCAGAGTGCTCTTCTTGGCATCCTCTTTGTCTGTAAGATTCATATTAATGGGTTAATTTCATTATTGTTGCAAAATGGTTGCTTGATATCTGAAAGCAGCAGAAATGCCTCATGTATTACCATTAAAAAACAAACATCAAAATTCTAGTTTAATTTCTAACATTATGACAATGTAAAAACAGAATTTTAGAAATGTCTGTAAATTTATTAAAAAGAAAACAACTGAAATATCAAGTTGGCATAAGTATTCAGATCCTTCACTCAATACTTTGTTAAAGCACCCTTAGCATCTATTACAGCCTCCAATCTTTTTGGATTGAGAAGCTTTGCACACCTGGATTGGGGTATTTTCTGACATTGTTCCTTGCAAGTCCTCTCAAGCTCAGACAGGTTGGATGGCAACTGTTGGTGAATACCCATTTTCTGTTCCCTCCAGAAATGTTTAATAGGGTTCAAGACAGGGTTTTTGGCTGGGCCATTCTAGGACATTCACAGAGTTGTCCCTAAGCCACTCTTGTGTTGTCTTGGCTCTGGCTGAACTCCAATGATCCTGTGTGGAGATGGGAGAAGGACAACTATCACTGCAGCCCTCCACCGATCTAGGTTTTATGGCAGAGTGGCTAGGCGGAAGACTCCTCAATGCAAAACACCTGAAAACCAGCTTGGAGCTTGCAAAAAAAAAATAACCTGATTGACTCTCAGACTGTGAAGAACAAGATTTTCTGGTCTGATGAAACCAAGATTGAACTGTTTGGCCACAATTCTACAGTAAATGTTACACCTGGAGGAAACCTGGCACTGCTCATCACCTGCTCAATGTTATCCCAACAGTGAAGCATGGTGGTGGCACCATTATGTTGTGGGGTGTTTTTTAGCAGCAGGGATGGTGGGGACCGGATTTAAAACATCCGTTTTGCCCATGAAACTCCTCGCTTGCCAGGATAGCAACATGTCAATAACATCACAAAGATGGTTATTTCAGAAATATGAAAAATATATGATTTCTTTAAATCTCCCAGCAGAAAATCACAGGCAGCCGTTTTAAATCGTGCAGCCAAAGGATAATAAAATTCGGGGACGGGAAGAATATACAACAGCAGCCGACATCCTTGTCCCTTCGCTGCTTCCCCGCCGTGGAGGAACCCAAAGGGCCGGACTTGCTCCCGGCTTCTCCTCCGACCTGCCCTCCACTCACCTCCCAGGAGCCGCTTCGACCTTCCAAGCAGCACAAGAGTTGTGGCTCTGGTGACCAGAGACGCAACCATGTTCCTCCATATCGTCTCTAGCAATCTTATACTCTATCGTTTCAATTGCTTCCAGCTAGGCCTCTCTCCCTCCGGTAGGAATCTGAATAGTAGTGATGCTGCTGCTGTCATCTATTCTCTGCTTTTCAGGGGCTTCTTTGTATAGCGCCATCTAGCAACAGGGAGGGAGATGGGTGGTTCGGAAATATGAAAAATGTAGAGTTGAAAGAGACCTTGGGGGGGGTCTTCTAATCCAAGCAGGAACAGGGTTACAAGGTACATTTTTGGCTTGGGTAAATACACTCAGGCATGTGAGCAGAGATACACACTTATGAATGTATGTAGACCATATATGTGTATCTGCATGTGCACAATGTCCCAGAAGTGCTTTCGCTTAAATTGTTTGATTCATGGTATGGTTAGAAGTGGGAGGGGGGCACTAATAGAAGAAATGGTAACCAACTCCTATTCAAGTGTAGGGGTTTGGGGTTGGAAGAGAAGGGAATAAAAGGTTTTCGCAATAAGTGGGGGAGACAGAGGGAGTGAAAGAGGAGGAAGGTGGGATTTGGCTGGAAAAAAAAGCCAGAAGGTAAGGATATGAAGCGATCCCTTGGGAAAATTAGGCCTGGGGGGATAGAAAAGAGAGGCTTCTGTGGGCCAAGCCTGACGAAAAGAAGGGGATAGGATAGGATAGGATAGGATAGGATAGGATAGGATAGGATAGGATAGGGATATGTAGGGCAAGCCTGAGGAAAAGAAGGGGATAGGCTAGAAGAGGGATTTGTAGGGCAAGCCTGAGGGAAAGGAGGGGATAGGATAGGATAGGGATTTGTAGGGCAAGCCTGAGGAAAAGAAGGGGATAGGATAGGAGAGGGATTTGTAGGGCAAACCTGAGGGAAAGGAGGGGATAGGATAGGATGGGGATTTGTAGGGCAAGCCTGAGGGAAAGGAGGGGATAGGATAGGAGAGGGATTTGTAGAGCAAGCCGGAGGGAGAGACCAGTTTGAGTTACGGAATAAGCAGAGGAATCAACGAAGGAGCAGAGGCTGTCGAAGGAGAGCCCAGCAGGCAGTTCAAGAGAGAGCAAAGAGAGAAAAAGAGGAAGGTCAAATCAAACACCTGAATCCACCCCATTACATGACATACCTGTTGAAGAAAAGACTAACCATCATCCTACCACATTACCTTCCTGCTGAGAATAGGCTGGCCACCACCTCATTACATGACCCTGGCAAGTAGGGGTTCATCAGAGATGGACTAGCGTAGTCTGGCAGCCATACGAAGAGGTCCAGGAGAACCCAGACTCCAGCGACCCTTACAGGGGTTAGCGCTACACTTGGAGGCTCATCTGGGATTTCCTTCTAGCCTTCTTCCATGAGTAGGGGTGGCAGTGGTCCCATCTAGGAGCATGAGCCAAGTGAGCAAAATGGACTCCACTGCTTTCACTAAGTGGTGTGAGGAACAGAACAGTGAGATAAAGACAAATGTAGCAATTGACATCCCTGGGGATGTTTGGCCAGAAGAGCAAATTTTACGGGCAGTGAGGACCCTTGCTACAGACCAAAGATTATATATGATACAAAGGTGGACCAGGACTCCTCTTAACTGTGCTCTTAATGTGCTATTGGAATGGAAAAGAAAGGTCACAGAAGGCTTTGGGGTTGTGTCAGCCTCAAGATCTCTTCGGCTACCCTAGCTGCTATCTATCTCATTTATCTCTCTCATATCCTATCTGCTGTATCTTCTCTACTGCCAGGCTTAATTCTTTCAGCTGTCATTAGCAAGGTGGGGGGAGGAGTGATTGAGGGGGGAAGAGAGCTGGAGGTGTTTTGCATTCCTTTACTGTGGGTAAGCAAAAGGAGGGGGTGTATGAGTTCTTCTCTTCAACTTTCCATTTCCTTGCTAGCTTCTATCCCTTTTTGCGCAGCTGCGAAGTTTTATCAAAATATGTCAAGGTCAACGGACAGAGGCCTCATCACCACCTGAAGATGCCCACATGACCATATTCAGAACTTTTAATTGGAAGAGTCTTTTGGACTTTGGGGGGTGGGAAGAATTCCATTCCTTTGTATATGTGATCTGCGCGCCAAATTCTCAGATTCGGAATTCCATCTGTAGCTTCCACTTTAATTTCCAGTAAAAGGATAACTTTGCTCTGATCTATGGAGTCTGAGTATTTCTTTCTTGGATTTTGAAGGGAGCACACACTGACAGGTTGAGAGCCTTCAACTGACTGTGGTAAAGGGTGATATACCCAACCCCATGGGCTATGCTTTCAGCGAAGACATTGGGCCTCCAAGAGGAGACACAGGTCTTGATCATCAAAGAGGCAGCAGATACAGGATCTGCCCAGGCTGTGGAGAGCCTGACACCCATCCAAACCCTGACTGGCAACTACTTTGTGAGAGTTGGGTACAAGAAACTACATATCTTTTCAGAGATAAAACCAGTGCCAGAAGGGGAGGAAGAATATGAAACCTGGATGAAGCAGGCAGTCCCGCTGCAGAAACCATTAGAATTTACCATGCATAATTAGCTCTGTTTACTGCATGATGAATTTGGACCCACTGAAACCGTATCTAGCCTGCTGTTTTGGTTTGAGCAAATGTACCAGAAGAGAGGTGAAAGGCAATCTGAGTACATAAGAAGATTGAACAAGTTACTATGTCAGATTGTGGAAAGGAAGGGGATGGACCTAGCTGAAGTAGTACGAGCGAGGATAAAGCAACTTTCACAGGGTGCTCTATTCTCTGACCTAGTATGGAATCAAATAAAGACTCAGGCCGAAGGGAATACCTGGGGGTTTCATGAGCTCATAAGGAGAGTTAGGGCAATAAGTGGTGGATGACCAGCTGGATGCTATGCGAGCTCAAATATCCCATTTAAGCAAGAAGATGGCCTCATGGATGGCAATGGGTGGTTTGCCCTTGAATGGCTGAGTGAGCCAATTGGGGAGGAGGCACTTCTGCTTCAGCTGAGAACTTGGCGAAGCCAGGGACCTGTTATAACTGTGGGGCTGCAGGCATTACAGGTGTACTTGTACTAAATCACAGAAACCATGGAATTCGGCCCAGTCGGGAAACTACAGAGGGCCCCAGTGAGGAAGTCAACTGGGTGGCCAGTGATACCAGCTATCTGAAAGGAGGCTGACCACCAGCCCATGACGTGACCCTGGCAAGCAGGGGTGCATCAGAGACAGACCAGTGTGGACTGGCAGCCATACGAAGAGGGACAGGAGAACCCAGACTCCAGCGACACTTATGGGGGTTAGCATCACCCAAGATTTAAAGCATCCATTTTGCCCATGAAGCTCCTCGCTTGCCAAGGAAACAACATGTCAATAAAATCACAAGGAATGAAGTGTTACGTGAAGGGTGAGGGATTTGGGTGGTTCAGAAATATGAAAAATATATCAAGATTGACAAAGTTGACAAAAGATTTATTTAAATGCCCCAGGAGAAAATCACAGGCAGCTGTTTTAAATAGTGCAGCAAAAGGATTAAAACATTTGGGGAGAGAAAGAATATACAGCAGCAGCCAACATCTTTCATTCTTGTCCCTTCGCTGCCTTCAGTCCGTGGAGTGGGCCCAACTTCCAAAGGGCCCAACTTCCTCTTCTCCAAACTGCCCTCCACTCAACTCCCAGGAGCCGCTTCTACAGCAGAAGAGGGACTAGCGAAGCCATCATCCCCCACCCACCAGATCAGTGAAAAAGGAAGTACCTCTGTCCTCCTTTTCTCCACACCCTCTCTAGCAATCTAATGCTTTATCGTTTCAATTCCTTCCAGCTCAGCCTCTCTCCCTTGGTATAATGGCAAGACTAGCGAAGTCACTGCTGCCTTCTGGGGGCTTCTTTGTACAGCGCCATCTAGCGACCTAAGGTTGAAAGTCACCTTCGTTCTATTTGTACCTGGCCTAAAGGGTTTGCAAGGTTTTCATGGAATCCGTGGTTCCTTCTGTGCCATCAAGGCAACGCATTCGACTCACTCCGAGCACAGGAATAGCTTTCGTCCACAATCTGTGCTAAACCTTTTCTTTCAGGTCCCCCAAGAGTGCCCTCACTGCCCCTCTTTCTGCAACTAAACCAAAGACAGGTGAGAATGAGGTATAAAAGGCAACCTGAAAGAGCACCTCCCTTGGGGGCTGGTGAAGATTGTTCCAGCCAGGTTTTTTGGGGGGTGGGTGGGGTGGGGGGAGCAGTACAGGATAACTCCTTGAAACCTGCCTTGGCAAATGATTGAAGCTGTAATAGTGAAGCTGTTCAATGGAAGGCTCTAGTCCTAGTCTGTCCTTTGGGATCTGTTAGGGATGCCATCATCGCCACTGCAACTGAACGTGGAGCTGCTTTTGCAAGAAGTAAACCAGAGGTCTCCAAACCTGGCAACTTTAAGACTTGCGGACTGCAACTCCCAGGCACCCACAAGTCTTAAAATTGCCAAGTTTGGGGACCTGAATTAACCAAGGGAAAAATCTTGGGGGGGGGGGGGGGGACACAATGTGCCATGAGGCAGGGAGAAGGAGCACCTCCCTTGTGGATCACTGTAGACTATTCCAGCCAGTTCTTCGTCTTGGGGTGCAGCATAACTCCCCAAAACTATATTTGCAACTGAGGGAAGCTTAAAGAGCGATGCTTAACCCTTCTTACCTTCACAAGATTAGCCATCATAAAAGTTGATAAAGGTCTTGTTTGTATCTGCAGCCTTAAATGATTGTCAGCTTCATATCCCTTTAATAGAAGAATGAAATGCGGGACAAAGCCTTGAAGGGCCCACCCACATTGCTCCCAAACCAATCTAGATAGGAGATATTATTTTTCCAACTGCATTCTCGCAGCTGGAACTGCCAGGATTACCCTCAGTAAACGGTGTGGTCACGTGATGTCACTTGCTATAATCCCATTGCATAGCAATGGAATTTCTGGAGCCAATTGCTGTCACAACCCGAGAACTACCATTTCCCCCTCCCAGTGCAGGAAGAGTCATTTCCCTCCTTCTGGACAGTTGGTATCCTGACCGGCTTGATACCTTCAACAGCAGTTTGCTATGCATTAAAAAACCAAAAAAAGAGTGATTTTCCTGGCAGAGAAGTTCAAGGCTTTGCTGCAGATTATGATCTTTTGTTAAAGTGCAGCTGAGGAGGGCAATGAAAGGTTGTCAGCCTGGAACCTGAACTCGCCCTCTGCTTGCTTATGATTTTGCCACCCGGAGAAAGGACTGTGCAGGAGAAAGACACCTGCAACCTCCTCAGTCTGGCTCCTGCTTGAGCAGCTCATGGCTGGGGGAGGGGCTTTGCACAGATTCATCTATTGCACCATTTATGCCCTTACCTGGACCAGGGAGACCTTGCACACGGGTCACTCGTGCCTTGGTCACCTCCTGTTTGAATCCCTGCATTGGAACACTCAGAAACTTCAACTGGTCAAGAATGCAGCTTCGCAGAGTTAATGGGAGTCCCTAGATTGCAGATATTACATCTTCGTTGTGCAAGTTGTACTAGATTCATTTCTCTACAAGTGCAACTGAAGATGCTGCTCATCAACTTTAAAGTTATTTCTATATTGTAGCAATAGTACTTAGAATTAATATACCACACACAGTGCTTTATAGCACTTTCGGTTGATTATCCCCAACAACCTGGGTCCTCATTTTATCAATCTAAGAAGGATGGAAGGCTGAGTCAACCTCGAGCCCTGTCAGGATCGAATTCCAGGCTGTGGGCAGAGTCAGCTGGCAATACCGCATTCTAACAACTCAGACAACAGAGCAACTATCATTATTGTCCCACCTTTATTATTTTTGCATCCATCGGTCCTACCAGGTCAGATAAGATCAGAGTCTCTTCCCGTAAACATTACTGTTGAATAGAAGCTGGGAAGTGAGTCTTATCTGTTGCAGATCCTTCCCTCTGGAACACTCTTCTCCCCCTGAAGTTTGACAGGCTTTTAGCCTCCTAGTCTTCTGAATTGAAGAAAGATCTAGTAAAATATTAACTTAGGCAAGAAAAACCAAAAGCACACATATAGACTGGGTGAAACCAGACTTAACAGCATAACTGTGAGAGGAATCTTGGAGTCTTAGTAGACAACATGCTAAACATGGGCCAACAGTGTGGTGTGGCAGCCAAAAAAGCCAATGCAATCCTAAGATGCATTAACAGAAGGATACCATTAAAGTCAAATGATGCACTAATACCACTCTATAAAGCCTTAGAAAGATCCCACCTAAAATGAGCCATGGTGGCTGCTGGCAATTTTGCAGTTTGAATCTCACCAGGCTCAAGGTTGACTCATCCTTCCATCCTTCTGAGGTGGGTAAAATGAGGACCCAGATTGTTGGGGGCAATATGCTGACTCTGCAAATTCTGTAAACTGCTTAGAGAGGGCTGTAAAGTGCTGTAAAACAGTATATAAGCTTAAGTGCTACTGCTACTGCATCCAATTTTGGTCACCGCACTATAAAAAAGAAGCTGAGACTCTAGAAAAAGAGTGCAGAGAAGAGCAACCAGGATGATTAGGGGACTGAAGGCTAAAACATATGAAGAGCAGTTACAGGAACTGGGCCTGGCTAGTCTAGGGAAGAGAAGAACCAGGGGAGACATGATAGCGGTCTTCCAATATTTGAGGGGCTACCACAGAGAGGAAGGGGTCAAGCTATTTTCCAAGGCACCTGAAGGCCAGACAAGGAACGATGGATAGAACTGATCAAGGAGAGATTCAACCTGGAAATAAGGAGAAATGTTCTCAGCCAATGAGAAAGCCAATGGAACAGCTTGCCTTCAGTGGTTGTGCAAGCTTCATAACTGGGAGCTTTCAAGAAGACGACTGGACTGTCATTTGTCATAAACGGTGTAGTGTCTCCTGCTTGGCCGGAGGGTTGGACTAGATGACCTACAAAATCCCTTCCAACTCTGTTAATGCCTGTTAGCTGTTCCCCTAAGCATTGGGATAAGAAGAGATGGCTACTCATCAGAAGCTTGATTTGGAACCAGGTGTTTGTTTAAATTTATAAAACTTACATGCCGCTAATCTTGCAGTGAACTTCTCCAACTTAAATCGTTGCAAGGAGAAAGATTACCAATTCTGAGCAAGAGCCACAGGCACAAACATAATTAGTAAGGCCAGGAGACCTGGTTAACTTCTAAATTGAACAATAGCAAGGATCGTCTTTTTAAAATTCGCAGACCATCCAAATGCCATCAATCTTGCTAGATGTGCCTTGTATTTCCAGGGCAAGTACATGTTAAATGTGCAGGCTTTGCAATTTGCAATTTTGGGGGTTTATTGCAGTGATGGGATTCAAAATACTGTAGTTTATTAGCAGTTCTGTGGGCATGGCTTGATGGGCGTGGCAGGGGAAGGTTACTGTAAAATCTTCATTCCCTCCCCCACTCCACTAACCTACTTTCCAGCTCCATTCTCCTGTGCAGGGCAACAAAAGAAGACCCAGCCAATCATCTGGGACTCGGGAGGCAGAGGAGAGATTGGGGCGGGGCCAGTCAGAGGTGGTATTTGTGGGTTCTCTCAACTACTCAAAATTTCCACTTCCAGTTCTCTAGAACTGCTCAGAACCGGCTGAACACCACCTCTGGTTTATTGGTTTCTGTATTAAGGTTTTTCTGCTGTAAACCATGTGGAGTCACAATGGGTTGGGCAGCCTAAGATGCTAAGTAAAAATACAAACATACATGTTTATATTCTCTTGTATTATACATAGAAATAACTCAAGACAGCACCTAACAGAGATCCAAACCTGCTTTCTCTGGCCCGAATGGCAATTCCCTTTGACTCTGTGAAAGGGAATGACCATTACGCCAAACTAAGGGAGCTCAGATCTCCTCCCTCATGTTTAATAATAAGACATGCTTGACTAAAAAGAATCACTCAATAAATGAAAATATTGATTTCTCAGCTGGGCTTTCAGTAAGAGACAAAAATTGAAATTAAAGATTCCTCTAAACAGATCAAAGTCCTGTGTGACTCCTCTGGTGTATCACCAGCTTGGAATTATCCTTGAAACTTTTCCCACAATCCGCACACACATATGGTTTCTCTCCTGTGTGATTCCTCTGGTGTATCACCAGCTTGGAATTCTGCTGGAAACTTTTCCCACAATCTAGACACTCATATGGTTTCTCTCCTGTATGAGACCTCTGGTGTAAGATCAGATGAGAATTCTGACTGAAACTTTTCCCACAGTCCGGACACTCATATGGTTTCTCTCCTGTGTGAGTCCTCTGGTGTATCACCAGGGTGGAACTCTGTCTGAACCTTTTCCCACAATCCGGACATTCATATGGTTTCTCTCCTGTGTGAATCCTCTGGTGTCTCCCCAGATGGCAAATACGCTTGAAACTTTTCCCACAATCTGCGCATTGATATGGTTTCTCCCCTGTGTGTGTCCTCTTGTGTATCACTAGGTAAGACTTATTAATGAAACTTTTCTCACAATCTGGACACTCATATGGTTTCTCTCCTGTATGAGTCCTCTGGTGTTCTATAAGGGAGGAATTCCGACTGAAACTTTTCCCACAATCTGGGCACTCATATGGTTTTTCTCCTGTGTGAGTCCTCTGGTGTAACACCAGGTCAGAATTGCAAGTAAAACCTTTTCCACAATCTGAACAATAGAGTTTCTCTCCCGTGTGAGTCCTCTGGTGTTTCCCCAGATTGGAATTCTGACTGAAACTTTTCCCACAATACAGACACTCATATGGTTTTTCTCCAGTGTGAGTCCTCTGGTGTGCCACCAGGTTTGAATTCTGGCTGAAACTTTCCCCACAATACAGACACTCATATGGTTTTTCTCCAGTGTGAGTCCGCTGATGTATCACCAGGTTCGAATTATGATTGAACTTTTTCCCACAATCCAGACACTCATACGGCTTCTCTCCTGTGTGAGTCCTCTGGTGTGCCACAAGTTTGGAATTATTCACAAAACATTCCCCACAATACAGACACTCAAATGGTTTTTCCCCAGTGTGAGTGTTCTTGTGTATCACCCGACTGGTGTTCATGCTAAATATTTTATCACAACGGGAGCAGTGGTAGAGTTTCTCTTTGGTAACGCTTCGAACAATTCCCAAACGTTTGTATGACTTTTCACAGGGTGGTTCGATTTATGCATCAATTGGATGTGATCTGCAATCTGTGTTGTTCCCATACTAGGCAGTCAGTAGGGATTTTCCAACGTTGATATTCTTGGATTTTTGAGGAGGCCAACAATATTTCTGATCTCTTACCTGGTGTTTTTTGATTCAAGCTATTCTTTCCTTCCACAAATGCTTTCATTAATGTTTGCACGTTTTGGGCTGTCCTTTTTATTCCCACTGACTTCCAGGTGTTCTTTAATTACAAATTATCCTCCTTTTGACTTCTCATGTAATGTTTCCTTGAGTTCCAGATACTCTATTTTTTCCTAGCTGAAAGCTTTGTTCTGTCTCTCAGCAGCTGAGGAAGGAGAAGAGATTTTACGCTTTTTGCAAGAAGTTGAAGATTTTGATTGATAGTTTGTTTTACATTTTAATGCTGTTTCTCATTCTCTGTTGTCCAGAGTGCTCTTCTTCACATCCTCTTTTGTCTGTAAGATTCATATTAATGAGTTAGTTTCATTATTATTTAAAAATCGCTGCATATGTTTTTTTACCATTAAAAACAAATCTCAAAATTCTAGTTTAATCTCTGAGATTAACTATAATTCATTTGGCATGTAGAAGGCTTGCAGATCCAAATATCAACCCAATGAAAAAATTTCTCCTTTTCACTTGAGTAAATCACACCGAGTGCACTTAGAAAATATTCAAAGTATTCAGATCCCCTTCATTTCTATTACTTTTGTTACGCTGCAGCCTGATTCTAAAGTTGTTAAAATTCATTTTTTTCTCATTAATCTGCACTCATAATGACAAAGTAAAACCTGCCTGATGGTCACTATCCAACCTGGCTGAGCTTGAGAGGACTTGCAAAGAAAAATTGCAGAAAATTCCCCAATCCAGGTGTGCAAAGGTTATCGCCTTATACCCAAAGACTTAGAGGCTGTAATCGCTGCTAAAGATGCTTCACTCAGTAGAGTGAAGGACCTGAATACTTATGCCAAGGTGGTATTTTAAGTTTTTTGGTTTTTTATTACGTTTACAGATATTTGCTAACATTCTGTTTTCACTTTGTCATTATGGATGTAGATGAATGAGGAAAAATGAATTTCAAGAAGTGTAAAATGAGGCTGAAGCATTACAAAATCGACAGCCGTGAAAAGTGTCTGAATAGTTTCTGAATGCACCGCATATGGGATCCTATTCACAGAGAAATACACTCCTAAGGATTTATCTTTGGAAACAATTATGTGTATCTCAGTTTGCAAAATGCCTCAGAAGTGGATTCGCTCCATTACCTTGATCTGGTTTTAGGAAGGGAAGGGGAGGTGGGGGAGACACTAACAGACGGAAATGGTGAACAAATGCCGTGCAAGATTTAAAGCATCCGTTTTGCCCATGAAGCTCCTCGCTTGCCAAGAAAACAATATGTCAATAAAATCAAAAGGAGTGAAGTGTAACATGAAGGGTGAGGGAGGTGAGTGGTTCAGAAATACGAACAAATATGATGATTGCTTTAAATCTCCCAGCAGAAAATCACAGGCAGCCGTTTTAAATCGTGCAGCAAAAGGATAATAAAATTCGGGGACGGGAAGAATATGCTGCAGCAGCCCACATGTTTCAGTCTTATCCCTTCCCTGCTTCCCCGCCGTGGAGGAACCCAAAGGGCCCGACTTGCTCCCGGCTTCTCCTCCGACCTGCCCTCCACTCACCTCCCAGGAGCCGCTTCGACCCTACAAGAGGCTCCGCCGACGCCATCAGCCCCCGCTTGGATGATGAGCCGGAAGAGGAACTACCTCTGTCCTCTCCTAATCGTCTCTAGCAATCTTATACTCTATCGTTTCAATTGGTTCAAGCTCGGCCTCTCTCTGGTACAATGTGAATAATAGCGATGCCGCTGCTGTACTCGATTCTCTGCTTTCTAGGCGCCGGTGTGCCTTCTTTGTATAGCGCCATCTAGCGACATAAGTCGTATTTTCTGCAGTCAAGTTTGGGGCGGTTAACCTTGAGTTTGTATCTATTCTGTGATAAGGTTGAAAACCATCTTCGTCCTATCTACCCTAAAGCATTTGAACCTCCCTTTGGGGCTAGTGAAGATTGTTCCAGCCAGGTTTAGTCGTGTGTGTGTGTGTGTGTGTGTGTGTGTGCAGGACAACTCCTCGAAACTTGTCTTGGCAAATGATTGAAGCTGCAATAGTTAAACTGTTGAATGGAAGGCTCTAGCCCTAGTCTGTCCTATTGGGCCTCACAGGGATGCCCTCATCAGCACTGCAACTGAGCCAGGAGCTTCTTTTGCAGGGACTAAACCAAGGGAAAGCATCCGTGGGATGAACACAATGTGTAATCAGGGAGGGAAAAAGTGCACCTCACTTGAGGATCAGTGAAGACTATTCCAGCCACTTATTCGTCTTAGGTTGCAGGATAACTCCCCAAAATTACATTTGCGACTGAGGGAAGCTTGAAGAGTGATGCTTGACCCTACTTACCTTCACAAGATTAGCAGGTGAGGCATCATAAAAGTTGATAAAGGTCTTGTTTCTATGTGCAGCCTTACCAGCTTCATATCCCTTTAATAGAAGAATAAAATACAAGACGAAACCTTGAAATGCCCACTCACACTGCTTCCAAACCCATCTAGATATTATTTTTCCCTCTGCGCTCTTGCAGCTGGAACTGCCAAGATTGCCCTCAGTAAGCAACATGGTTTAACATCTACATGAAACTGCTAGGGGAGGCCATCCATCCTGTGATATCCAATTATGTACAGGTACTCCTCAATTTACTTCATTTAGTGACCATTTGAAGTTACAATGTCATTGAAAAAAGACAGATGACCATGATTCACACTTAAAGGCCACCGGAGTATTGTCACATGATGAAAATTCAGACCCTGGGCAATTCACTTACCTTTGTGACAGTTGCAGTGTCCTGAGGTCATGTGATCCCCTTTGGCGGCTGACCTGGTGCACAAACTGGAAGTCCTCCTTCTTGCTAGAGGAGACCATACCTGGGGAGGGGCTTTGCACACAAGATTCTTCTCGTGGACCAGTTGTGCCCTTTCCTGGACTGAGATGCATTGCAAAGTGGGGGTTACTCTTGCCTTAGCCGCCTCCTGTTTGAATCCCTGAAGAAACTTCAACTGGTGCAGAACTAGGGGTGGGATTCTATCGGTTCCGCCCAGCTCTACAGAACCGGTAGCTCTGAAGAGCAGCAGACCCAGAACCAATTCTGGGTCTGCTGCTGTTTTGGCCCATCCACCTGCCAGAGCTCTTACCTGTCCTTTATTTCCTGCTTTTTCAACCGGAGCTGCTTTGCGCGGCACAGCTGAGGTTGAAAAATCAGGGGAAAAAAGGGCTTTTCAACCGCTGCGCACCCACACGCAGCACTGCTCAGCTGTCTGGGCACCGCAGCAGGTCGTAAATTGCACTTGCGCGACATGCGCGATGCACAGCAATAGAACTGGTAGCTGTACCGGTCGGATCTCATCCCTGTTCAGAACGCAGCAGCGCACAGTAATGGAAGTCCCTGGCCTAGGTTGCCCATGTAACACGTTTGTGCTGCGCTAAATTCATTTGCTTTAATTTTTGCTTTAATAAAACAAAGAAGAACTAGCTTTGCCCCTAAGCACTGGGAGAAGAAGAGAGGACTGCACACATCAGAAGGTAAATTCAAACTAGGTTTCTATTTTTAATGCATTTGGTTTGAATACAGTTTTAACGTCAATTATTGATTAGGAGCCGGCCAGAGTTTGTTAAAACATGGGTGGCTACAAAAACATTTTAAATAAATCAGAGGAGGAAGAAATGAATGAATGAATCCAATAAGGCCACCCATCTGCAAGTTCCTTGAGACTCATAATGAGTTGGGCTATACCATATACAGGCTATGTAAAAATATATACAATATTTACATCACCTGTATTATATGTAGAAATTACGGCGACAATCATGCCTAATACAGGCCAAGCAATGGAATTCCCCCTTGACTCCGTGAAAGGGAACAATGGCACTAGGCCAAATTAAGGAAGCTCGGATCTCCCCCATGTTTAATAATAAAACATGATTGACTACAAAGACTCAAGCTAGGAATGAAATTATTGAGTTCTCAGCTGGGCTTTCAGTAAGAGACCACAAACGAAATTAAAGATTTTTCCTCATGTGGAATTTCTTCTGTGATAATGGAGAAATTTTCTGCGAAACAGAGTACACGACCTGAACATTACTCTCCTATGTGCAACCTTACATGACTTACAAGGTTAGACCTACTACTGAAATCTTTCCCACAATCTGGACACTCATACGATTTCTCTCTTGTGTGAGTCCTCTTGTGTCTCCCCAGATGGGAATTACACTTGAAACTTTTCCCACAATCTAAACACTCATACGGTTTCTCATCCGTGTGAATACTCTTATGCCTCTCCAGATGGTAATTACGCTTGAAACTTTTCCCACAATCTGGACACTCATATGGTTTCTCTCCTGTGTGAGTCCTCTGGTGTTCTATAAGGTTGGAATTCCGACTGAAACTTTTCCCGCACTCTGGACACTCATACGGTTTTTCTCCTGTGTGAGTCCTCTGGTGTACCACCAGGTCAGAATTGCAAGTAAAACCTTTCCCACAATCTGAACAGTACAGTTTCTCTCCTGTATGCATGGTCTGGTGTTTCACCAAGTGGGATTTGTGATTGAATCTTTTCCCACAATCCAGACACTTATATGGTTTTTCTCCCGTGTGAGTCCTCTGGTGTATCACCATGTTTGAATTCTGACTGAAACTTTTCCCACAATATAGACATTCATATGGCTTCTCTCCTGTGTGAGTTCTCTTGTGTGTCACCAGGTCCGAATTCTGACTGAACCTTTTCCCACAATCCGGACACTCATATGGTTTCTCTCCTGTGTGAGTCCTCTGGTGTTCCAAAAGGGAGGAATTCCAACTGAACCTTTTCCCACAATCTGGACACTCATATGGTTTCTCTCCTGTTTGAGTCCTCTTGTTTATTGCCAGACTGGTGT